AGAGAAGATGAAGTCCACGAGGCATTGAAGAGAGTCAGCATTGGGAAGCCTCTAGGACTTGATGCTCTGACCTACGAATTGTTCTGATTTTGACAGTGGTGTTCAACAATTGTTTCCGGCAGGGCCTGTCCCCAATCGGATCTCTAGGTGTGTGATCCCGCAGTTGAAAAATGACATGGATGTTGGGGGCGTGATTTAGAGGATTACAGGCCCATAACTCTGCTAAACACAGTTAAAGATTTTGCAGTCAGTTGCCGAAGTTCTCTTGGGCCGGAGTAGACGTGCTGTGAAGGGTCGAACAACTCAGATCAACCTGTATCTGATCCGTACGATACTAAAGGGAGTAGAGGACGACCGATGAAGCTGAGGTGATCAATTTGGATCCCTCCAAGGCGTTCATCAAGGTCGACCATCAGTATCTAGCGGTTGTCTTGTAGTCTGCCGGATTCAAACCCAACTTCTCTAAGTGGATCAGCCTGCTATTTCTCTTCCTCAGCGTGGTGATACAGGTTGGCGTTCGAGTATCTCCTGTGCCGGTTTCTACTGAAAAGTTCTTCTTGGTGCAGCTCGTACCAGACTTTCCACGTACACTGATGACTTATCCATTTTTGTGTCTTGCGGTAGCAACACTGAGGTAGTGCAGAAGGCGCTTGAACGGTACGGGATCATGGGGGGGGGGCAAGATTAACCGTCACAAATCTCCCGGCTTGTGTTTAGGGGCTTCCGGGGTTTGCACTTGAGCGCCGTCATAAACACCAGAATCAATTTGAATTCTTCACCGAATGTCGAAAGTCATTGCGTGCTGTTTCTGGGTATCCCCAATTGTCACCGGTGTGATAATGGTTTAGAAGAAACAGCGTGCATACCTTCTTCTACTGTCAGTAGGTTCGTCCGTTCTGGTATCATGTTGACAAGTTGACAGTTCATATAAATCCGGAACATCTTGAGTCTATCGATATCACTACGTGTGTGATAACGTGTCACGTCTGTCATCTGAGGTGAAACGAATGGTGTTTCTTACGCTGCAAGCTGTAGCTAGAATTATGCCCTGGGTGACTCAAATGGAGGTAATATAACGAGACGAATAATATTCTCTGATTGGATTATTTGGGCAGGATGAAGTTCATAACTAATAGAAAGCATTTGATTTCAACAGATTTCAACGAAAGTCGAGTAAAAGTTGCGAGCTTAGTTTGCGTGGTTCGGGACAGCCTTGATTTTTTTTTATTAGTCCTCTATAGATACAATACAATATAACAGATCATATACAATAAAGGTGAATAATTCAATTAGAAAAATTGAAAATAAATACAATGTATTTAAATACAAATAAGAGAGATGTCATAATGGATCATTCCAATGTTTTTCGGGAATTTTTAACATCAACTTAGATGTTCTTTTCTTCTTATGGATAAAAAATAGGGAATCTTAGAAAACAAATTGATGGCTATGGAAAAAAAGGCCGCAGAATGACAAAAAGGCTCCAGAGAGAAAAAAAAGACCGCAGAATGACATCAGAATCTGTGAAAATAGTTAGGTCGCGTAAATACAGCATTGCATGATAAAAAAAAGCCCCAAACTCAATGAAAAAGTTTTGTCATGAAAATGTTTATGTTATTATTAAGAGGAAAAACCAAAGTAATTTTTAATTATTTTTTGAAATTTTTTACTCCTTTCTAGAACGTTCGAAATTTGGTTAAAAATCTTGTTTTTTTTTACGACACCCTCGAACTAGAGAAAAAAAAGTTTTGTTTCATTTTGCGCTTTTTCCGAGGAAAACACACATTGATTTGGAAATTCTTGTAAAATTCGAATAATTGTCGGATTTTAATGAAACTTTCAGGACATATTCAGAAATGAATGAAATTATTTTTGAATTTTTTTTTATAAAATTTGGGTAAAAAATATATTTTTTACATATGTTACCACCCACATACATAATTTCATGAAATTTCGAGAAATTAAATTTTTAAGTGAGGGATTTTTTTTTATTAGTTACAAACAAGACTCTTGAATTAGAAAAAAAACTTTTAATTGCCTTCGTAAATAAGTTATATTAAGAAAACTATTGTCTGAAGAAATAATTTTTTTTCGATGAATAATGAATTTTTACAAGAATTTTTTTCATTTTTTTCAATTATAATTATAATAATATGATAGTTTAAAAATCGCTTAAAATTCTTCATTGATTTCAAGAATGCAATTTGGTGAAAAAGTGAAAATTAAATTTACGAATCGAAATTTGAAAAGCTCATAACTGTCGTTTGTACCCGAATATTTTTAAAATAATTTTTAGTGAAAAAACGTTCCTAATTTCTACCTCTGGGGATCTATACATGTCATAATCCTTAAAAAGTCACGTGATTTAAGTGTCGTCTGACGCACTGCAATTATTTCAATTTTAATTCAGTTCTGTTTCATCATTAACGTCTTTGTAAATCACCCCTTCAAAATATCAGATAAATGTCTTACTTTTCTTAATTGTTATTTCACTAAATATTTTTATTTTATGTATTTATTTTTGTTGGGTCATACTTTAATTAATTAATTTTTTGTTTAAGGTAGTAAACTTAAGAACCTAGAGATGAAATGCAAATTTCATAAAGCTTTTTAAAAACTTAACTAAAGTCAATAAAATATTAAATAATTGCGGAAAATATGTTAAATTGTAAAAATTACTAGGTAGTTAAAAATTTAAAACAAAAATGCGTTCACTTAGTTTTCGTAAATATGTCATTTCTGGACATCCATAAGAGCAATTATCACCTTAAGGGGTTCTCCATGGATCAAATAAAGAGAAACTCATCGTTAAGAAATGCTTGTATATTGTTTTTTTTTTTTAAATATTTATTACAAATCAGATTAATTTAACTTCAATATTTTTAATTTTACTCAAATAACCTGTCACAAATCTATAATTTAATTTTTAAAGATTTTTAAACCCGATAAATTTGTTTGTCTACAAATTTCTTAAAAATCAAGAATTGGCCGCTTTTAAGAAAATTTTTAAAAATCGAGCTATTATTTGACATTCCAATGGATAAAATTTCTATCTGAAATACACCAGAACATTTTACTTACTTGAAATAATACATTTAATCATTTAGCTTTCAATTATATCTAGAATGAAATCTTGAATAATGATTTGTCATTTTTAAAATTTAAATGAGGTACCTAAGTCAGCTCTTCTTAATTAAATTTGTAACTTATATAAATGTAAGTAGAAAAAAGCAAATGTTGATAAGATAGCAAGGGGCACAAAGTACTGCCCCCCTCCCCGCCAAATCAGGCTCCCCCACTATCGGGAGGTTCGAGTGTAGTACGCAACAGCTGTGACTGGATGGTTTCGCCGTCCCACACTTCAGCCAGATGAGGTATGTGTAATATAGCTGTGGCAATATTGTTGTGGATGCCACGTGAACAGAATTTAACACCAATGATTCGCACAATAATTGTTGGGGCCAGAAAAATTGTTAATCTTATCGTCAAAATAGCAGGTATCCTAGACAACCATTGAAAATAACAGGAATGTTTGAATTTCGGACAGACATCAGCTGTACATCAAAACTGTCTCCGCCTACAGGTAATGAAATGACCTGCGATTAACAAGGACGATGATGCTTAAGTCGAGAAAATCTCATGAGCTTATGAAGCCAGCCTGTGATTAAAGTTTTGTGCAATCTGTTAATGAATATGTAATGGTGTGTGTGTTTTCTGATGGAGTGTGTAAGGATCACAAATGAAACATGGATGACTGACACAGATCTTGTTGTTGACTATTTGAACCCCTTTTCTGGGTGCTATCTTTCCTGGCGATTATATGTTTTTTCCCCTTGTGTGCATTTAACACGGGTGTGATTTCATGAAAAAATCCACCTAACTTTTTGGGGGCACTTCACTGATCCGCGCACTCATCAGAATGGAGGATGACTGGGATATGCTACAGTAATAATTTTTATTAAAAGTCGAAGCAACACACACAACACTGTTTTGGTCATCTCAGGAATATGTCTGGATCAATATATGCTTTAGCTCATTGAATTCATGCTCTATCTCGTAGGTGTCATTATTCAAACAAAGCGTTGAGCTACATCTTAGCAGATAGCTGACTCAAATTTTATGATTCTTCAATCTTACTATAAACGTTATATTTAATGGGTATCATATTTGAGCAGACATCCTTATTTTTAATGCCAACCGACTTCAAGAAAAATAAACTGAACGTCTACACAAATACGTGTATCCACTAAAATTATACTTAAAGTAATAAAAATATTTGGGATTAAAAATAAATTCCATGAATTCTTTAGAAATTGCTTCTTTTACGTTTCGGATACGAAACTGAGAAGATATGACATTTGAGAGTATCTGAATGAGTGTTAGGGTTGGGGTGCTTTAAAGGCAAATAGAACCTTGCCTGATTGGGAAGCTCTCCGTAAATGAGCGGCCAAAGCATATCGTATTAAGCAAAGTGGGACGGAGGTTCGAATCCTACTGTATGTCAGATTTTCTTTCATAAAATTTTTCGAGTGTGCAGGCCGTTAGAGGAAATAAAATACTGTTTAAAATAAACGGAGCGTCTACTTAAATACGGCTATCGAGAAAATAACGCTTAAAGTAATAAAAAGATGTCGGATTATAAAATAAAATCCATTAATTCTATAGAAATTGCTATGCGTTTGTGTGTGCGTGCGTGTGTATGTATGTATGTATGTATGTATACATGCATGTATAAACTATTAAAATTTCAAAGACAAACTTTTGTTCATCTAAAGAATTGACTAAAGGACGCCTTTTTCTACTATGAATAAAAATGGCAATAAAAAAAACAAAAAAAAAAAAAAAAAAAACACGAATTGCTTCCAAGGAAACTTATGTGATCTACCAAATCAAAAAAATACGTTTATTTCATGGGAAAATGATTTTCTCTGTGTCAACGTCTATCTTCTTTCTCTTTCTCTTTTATTTTTCTTTACAACTTTTCTTTATGTTAATCTTAGTTTTCCTTCCCCCCTCTTCTGATCTATCTATCTATCTATCTATCTATCTATGGTCATATCTACTTCTCAGTCCGTCTGTCTATCTATCTATCTATCTATCTATCTATCTATCTATCTATCTATCTTCACATCCTTGTTAATCAATTCATTTGAACACATCTCTTAATGCTTTCATCACAAATCATTAAAGCGTTACACCTCAGGGACACCATCAATCAATCTATTCGTATCAAGTTTGCATTGATAGAAGACACATCGATCACTTTTTATTTTATCGATTCTGTGATCAACAACTTTGGACCATTTTGGAACGTTGCATGTTTGCGTGATAACATGTTTTCTTGCTTGCTGATACGACGAACCATCGTCCAAGGCGACTGGCGTCTATTTAGTGTCGAAAACTCACAGGGAAACGGTCAACGATACATCTAAGTGCGTGAGAACGTTGCTTGTTACCTCGGAGACTGACGCCAGTGCCAATCTAGCTCACCACCGACCTGTAGATGCGCTCTTCATCATGAGTGCTCCAATATGCACGTGTGACGGCGACAGAGTGCGTGTGGTCGTCTGACTTGGGCGGGTGTAACCAACTATGTTCGCGAGACTGTGTGCGTGTATTGTCGGCGATATATGCGTGTGGCCTTTTGATGAAAAAGCGTGGCCGCAGATACACGAGAACGTTGAAAAGCCTGCGAGTTGAAGGCAGGAGTGTTATGAGACTACACACGCGCACACACTACTGGTGTATCATTGCAGACATACGTGTGTAGCTTTGGGTTCACTAATCTGTGAGTAAGTTAGTGAGCGTGCTGAATTGCCAATTTCAAGATTTGCATTTTGAATCTTAGAGATTGTGTGTATGAACATGCAAATATGTAACCTATAAAAGAAAATATATATATATATATATATATATATATATATATATATATATATATATATATATATATATATATGTATGTACCTTCATGAGATCGCTAAAAACAGAGCATAGCTTGATGAAAAAAAGACGCCAAACTTGACGAAAACAAAATTTTAGCGTCTAAATGTTTATGTTATTATTAAGACGAAAGCTCAAAGTATTTTTTAATTATTTTTTAAAACGTCTCCTTCTTTTTAGAACATTCTAAATTTTGATTAAAAAAACCTTGTTTATCTTTGCATCACTGGAACTAGTAAAATAACATAAAATTTTAGCGCGTTTTTTGCTGTATGACAGACATTAATTTTGAAAATCTTGGAAAAATAAAAATAATTGTCGGATTTTAATGAAAATTTCAGAAACTATTCACAAATGATGGAACTTATTATAAATATGTTTTACCTCTTTAAAGTCATGACAAAAATATTTTTTCACATGTATTACCCCCCCCACAACTAATTGAATAAAAAATCTATAATTTCAATTTTGGGAAGATTAGTGATTATATTTGTTAAAAGCACAAGGCTTTGAGGAAAGTAAATCATGTTTTTTTTTTGAATTGTAACATACAAAACTAAATAAAACAAAAATATTATATATTATTTAATTTCAAAAGCTTTTAATTGCTTTTATTTATTTTAATGAACATGAACAATATTGTCTGAAAGCTAAAAGATATTTCGATGAAAAATGAATTTTAAAACAATTATTTGTTATTTCTGAAATATTTTATTTTTACATATGGTTGTTAATTCTTCTAAAATTAGGGAAAATTTTGTAGAATTTAACGAATGTTGTTATTAAGTAGATATATATTCATAGATTAGAATTTCAAAAGCTTCTTACAAACTAACGACCAACACTATATAAAAAATATAATTTGTGTCAATAATAACACTGTAAAAGAAGACCGGAAGTATCATGCGTGCAATAAAAAAAAGTCACGTGGATTGAGTTTCTGTCTAGTATTTAATTTAAATACTGAATTTTTAATACAATTATTTGTTATTTCTTTAATTAGAATAGATTTTTAGATTTAAGTAGTTAAAACATTATAAAATTAGTTAAAAGCCGCATTCATTTTCGTAAATGTCCTTTTGAGATTTATTTTTGCGAAACACGTGTAGAGAAGTTAATTTGATTTTTCAATTTCAACTGAGAAGAGTACCTACAAGTATCAGTATCATCTTATGAAATTTAAATTTGTATTTTATGTACACTTTTGATAAAGTTTAATAAGAAAGGTACCTATAAATTGATTAGCTACCTTTCTTATGAAATCTCACTCTTAACAGTTTTATTTTAATTTCTTTATAATATATTTTCCATAAAGCATCGTAAACGTAAAGGTGAAAGCTAAGTACAAAAAAAAAAGGAATTATCCTCACATAAGCTATCAAAACGTCATGAATGACTTTCGTCACCTGTCAAGTGACGCGAAAGGTTATGACCTGCTTTGTTTTATTTTCAAACTACGTCTTTTCGGCGCAGATACTAAGTTAAGCTTGGTTCAAAATAATTTAAATAAACATTATAATTTATGATTTTCTTAAAATAAGTTTTGAAAAATTATAATTGATTTTTAAAAGAATTTCAAACTGAGATTTTTCATTTTTTTATAAATTGGAAAAATGACTGACATGATCGATTACCTGTCAATTTTGCTGACTAAAAAAAACAAGGTTTTTAACGAAAATTTTGGACGTGCTAGGAACGATTAAAAAATGTAAAAAATACCCCCAAAATATTTTGATCTTTCCTCTTAATAATAACATGGACATTTAGATGATAAAGTTTTGTTTTCGTCAAGTTTGGCGTCTTTTTCGTCATGCTATACTCTTTTTAGCGATCTCATGAAGGTACCTTATATATATATATATATATATATATATATATATATATATATATATATATATATATATATATAGATAGATAGATAGATATTAGGTACCTACTGTTTTTCGCTGAAAAAAAATCCAGCAAAAGTATGATGAAAGAAGGCTCCAAACTTAAAAACAAAGTTTTAGCGTCGAAATGTTTATCTTATTATTAAGAGCAAAGACCAAATTATTTATTTTTTTATTAAATTTTTTAATCCTTTCGAGCACGTTCGAAATTTTAGTTAAAATTTTGTTTTTTGCGTCAGTGGTCAACATAATATCTTCGATGAGTGTTTTTGGACTGTTTCACTGTGAAAAACACATTGATTTGGAAATTCTTGCAAAAATCAAATAATTGTCAGATTTTAATGAAACTTTTAGAACGTATTCACAAATTAAGGAAAATGATTTTGTAAATATGTTTTTTTTTCAAAATCTTGGTAAATATATATATATATTTTTTACATATAGTAAAGTATATACTGACTTAATTTCATGAAATTTCGAGAAATTAAATTTTCAGCAGAAAATGTTTTTATTAGTTAATGGCCGGATTTCTTGAACAGATTAACAATTTTTTTCAAACTACTACTCATTTCCCAAAAATCTGCTCCGAATCTTAAAATAAAAAAATGCATTAATTAGAAAATTTTTTAATTTCTTTTATAAATAAGATTTATTAAAAACACTATTGTTTTAAGAAAAAATGTTTTCGATGAATAATTATTTTGATTTTTTAATTTTAATTATAATAATTTTTAATATCTTAAAATATTACGTAAGTTCAAATGCCTCTTAAGGAACTATGTTCCTGATCAAACTAAACTCATAAATAATTATATTGGTCATACTATAGTATGCATATCTAGATCTATCGCGTTACACCTACCCGACCATAGCTCAATTAGAACACATTTAAACACACATGAAACCTATCAAAACCGTCCGAAACATACTAGTAGAAGATACAAGTTTAATAGCCTCATCCACATGTAAAATATTAAAAATAATGGAAGCTCTAATAATAAAAAAGGAAAAGCCAAAATTCAATTACATTAATTACGAACACGGCCACGATGTGCTGACTGTATTTGAAAAATACAATGTTCCTATAACTTTGTGACCAGGAAAGGAAACAACTGTACGAACACAAGAAAAATTAAATAAAACGCTTAATCGCAGTACCTTGTCACTCGTCTTTAACGAAACATGTATAGAAGGATTGATTCGCAATTAGTATATATATATATATATATATATATATATATATATATATATATATATATATATATATATTTAGATAGATACACAGGGTGTGATGGATAAATTGTTTTTTTTTGATTTTGAGACTGCGCAGTATAGTAGAGTCAGTTGGGCACCGTCTGTGAGAAAAAGAGCACAATGCACAATTCACACCGCCCGAAATTTGGAAACGGCATGCTGTACTGCCTGTCATTCACGCCGGAAGCTCCAATACGAAAATTTCAATGTGTTCTGGTGTCATTTTGAGGACAGTGCAGAGGATTCAGAAAGAGTTGGATGAGTCTAATGGTGATTACGAATGTACGGCAGTTTGGATAACACATTCTGTTCGTTCTGATAATAAAATGATGTCTACAACTACGTTCGTGTGTTTTCCATATAGAGGCTGTAAGAGAATCCGGACAAGAGAGAGAGAGAGAGAGAGAGAGAGAGAGAGAGAGAGAGAGAGAAAATCTTCACACAAACATAGAGGCTACACAGAGCACGACTGACTTCCCGTCCGACCATTAAGCAGTGAAAACGACCTCCTGTGAACACAGAATGAGAACAGATTCCACAATCAACACAAGCCCAAAACGATAGCCAGCAATCAGTCAGCCGGTTTAAGCATATTCCTTTTTTAAGCTCTAATTTCACACCTCGTGCACCGAATGCTACACTATACGACATATCAGAGACATTTTCATATCTTGTAAATGAAAATAAATCTTTGGTTATTTCTCCAAACCAGTGTCTAATTTCTTTACTCCAACCAACGTCCACCTCGGATCAGACCACACATTACCATTTGTTTATGGTGGGTTTTGTGATCGTTCAAAATTCTTATCTTATCCATATTTCAAGCTAAGAAAAGTTGATTAAAAGCCACCCACTCCCCCTTCCAGTAATAATAATAATAAAATAGGGGAAACTAGTCAAATTTATAATGAAGTTTACTCACCTCAGGATCTCGAATCAACTTCAAATGCATATCCATATCTGTGGTTTATTCTTGAACCATCGTGTCCATACACGATGGTTCAAGAATAAAGTTTTCATCTGTTTATTTATGATCGTATCATAAATTTATAAATGTTTGTCTCAGTCTGTCTTGTTTCTATGTGTCTATTTCTTAACTTCTTGTTTTTACCTATAGTTAGCGACTGTTATGAAATCCATAACCCCTACTAAATCAGAATTTGGTGACAGATACTTCTGTATATTGTACATACATATAGAAATGGATGTGTCTTAGTGCACACATTACGAAAATGGTGTGTCGAAACTTTATTGTAATTAATTATCCGTTCTTTCGTTAATTTTTAGGCAAATTTTAATTGATCTTTTTTCTTTTTCATATATATTTTGAATTGTATATTTGACTTTGTTCTGCCTCAGTGTGAAAAAACATTTGATGTACTTTGTGTACAACTGATGTAGCAACGTACTAGTTTTCTCTTCCATACAAAGGCGCAGACAAGCAGACGTCGACGAGTGTATAATTTCCTATATTTATATGGCTACAAATGGCGGTCTATATGTGTAGCTATCTAAGCTATCTAAGCTATTTAAATGCGATAGTCTGCTGTGCCTAAACCCAGAATACTGGATCTTTCAAAGGAATACCCATACACACCCTCATATATATAAGGGTATAAATTATATGTAGCTGTATGTATGGCATTGAATTTTTGAACGATGTTATTTACTGTTTTCCCATTATTAAACAACCATTATCAAAAGGTCAGACATCTTCGTTGAAACAAAACCATTTTATGAGCTTGCAAATGTCAGATTTGAAACACAAATTAGCTAATTTCTATTTTAATATCCTATTAAAATGACATGTATTTGTGTTTGAAACTTGTATTAACATGTTAATATTCCTGACGGACAAACACAGACGACGCACAGAAATGTTTTCATATGAATGTGTTAGGGTCTGTCGAATGTGTGTAGTGGGGAAGGTGTCTAGGCAAGGCAGAAAAACTTTATATATATATATATATATATATATATATATATATTATTCGGTATCACCCCAACCAAGGTAGTAAAGCAACAAAGATAAGGGGTTACAGTGTGTGGAAAAATTAGAAACAGAAACATTAATAATGTGTAGGAAGAAGAAAGAGTAATTCGGAGGACAGTAGATAACATTTGCCATTGCAATTAAATGTTTGGAGAATATATATATATGTGTGTGTGTCTTACTAACAGATTCTCTGTATATCAAAAGACGTATGTCAAAAACTGTTAGGATCATTGATTGGCAAGAGAGAAATAACCATCTAACATTTTCAAAGGTATATATAATTCTAGAAACTCCTATTGATGGCGTTGAGATGAAAGTGATGGATGAAAACCGCTGAACTGAAGCGGACTGATGAAGTATTAACTGTTTTACCCAGGAGAAATGAAATGAAGTCTTTCTTAAACAATGCAACTCTTACGGAAAAAACGAAAAGTCCATCCGTAAGGAAAATGTGAACAACATCGCCATTAAAAATAGATGAAAGTCCAGAAAGTATTTTTTATGTCAATAACAGAATAAGCAAAAACATTTTTCTTATTCTCCACTTTTTCATTGTTATTCTTTATTCAATTTGGTGCAGAGGAAACATTTTTAAAAGCAAAAAAGAAACTGGACTCATCTCTCCAGATATTAAATTAAGTGCATTTAGACACACACACACATACTCCCAAATATCATATTAACATGATACGAAAGCACGCGTACACACACACACACATACACACACACACACACACACACACACACACACACACACACACACACACACACACACACACATATATATATATATATATATATATATATATATATATATATAATAGTGAACACTGAAATCAACACTCAGAGGCTATTGAGTGTTGATCTAATATAGTAATCTAATATTTCATTGAATTTTAGGTACTTTGGACTTATAATTTAACTTACGAAGATGCTTGTTGAGAAAATGTTAAAAAATTACCAATAAATGTTAACTTCTCTATAGTTACCGTACTTATTTTTTGATAATGTCACGTTTTGACATCTGTATTACCAAAAATCGACACATATATAAACGCATATATTTAACATTCAAAATCTTTTTAAAATATTGAGGGTCGTTGAATTCTAGTTAGTTTTTCCATTTATGATTACAGTCTTAATTTAACTTGACTGCTACAAATTAATACAGAATTTTAAAGATTTAAAGCTTTATAAATTATTATAATTAAAATGAAAAAAAAATGGAAACAGTTCTTGAAAAATTATTCACCGAAAATTTGTTTTTTTTTAAGTCAGTAGTGCCCGTAATATATTTTATACATAAAAACAATTAAAAGATTTATCTAATTAAGTAATCTCTTACTTTTATTGCGTTTTTTTATTTTCATGATATGTTTTCTGTGCCGGTGGGTCGTGTTTGACCAAAAAAATTAATGATTTAAATTCTCCGAGGACTTGTTCTTATAATTAATATAAACATAAAGGGCTACCAAAGGAATTTCTCGAAATTTCATAAAATTAAATAAGTGGCGGTTAAAAATATTTTACAGAGATCTAAAAAAGAAACATTTAAAAATAATTTAATTCATTTGTGATTAAAAGTTAAAAAAATTTAAAAAAAAGTTTAAATGTGAAAATTTCATAAAAATTGAACAATTACCTAATTTTTTTTTTAATTCGACAATTATTTAATAATGCTTCCATTATTTTTAGCCTTTTTTTACACGTATGTGAGGCTATTATATGGAAGCATTATTAATAATAAAAAAAAACAACACTCAGTAATATCAACTATGAACACAGCCACAATGTGGTGATCGTGTTTGGAAAATAAAAAGTTCCTACGAATATAGATACATACATAAAACAATCCATACATTCAGTTAAAAGTCTCTTTCTGGGCTTGGGTATTTTCTTAGATCGTCTATAGATGTTTGGTTCATACTCTGGTACAGGCGGTTTGGTATTAGGTAGACTTAGTCTGGTTTGTCCCTGAGCTTGTGGCACTTCTTTCAAGACAACCATTGGATGATCATTTTATGTATTCTAATTGCCAGTGTCGCCTCCATACTGGGTCAAAAAAAGGAGGAAGAAAGACCTTGACACTGAAGCAACGAGTACCCAATGACTTCGTGACGACTGTTGGTACCTATCGGAGATGTTTGTCTTGGTGAGGTCCAAAGTACACTTCGTATACCGGATCATCAGTCTTGTACTGCCTGATTACCTTGGCGACAGCTTTCGAGTTTGGAGTTATCTCAGCCTTTGCTGATGCCTTTGATTGCTTGCCCTGTGTTATGTGTGCTGGCGAGCGAAGCAGAGAATCAGTCCTAGTCCGTATCTGCCAGGGCATCAAGAGATCGCTTGGAGAGAATCCAGAAGATGGTGTTCTTCGGTACTGCATCAATAACACTTCTGTTGCTCTGGGATAGTACGGTGCTTCTGCCAGGTACGTGATTCCACGTTCTTTGCACCAGCTCTGAAATTCTCCAGAAAGGAAACTCGATGATTTATCTGTAACCATCATGTGAGGGTATCCGAAGTGAGCGAAATCCTCTGGTGGATGTGTATGGCGTTTGGTGAATACATGGATACCGTGAGAAAGCGTAAGTGATCACTAGCCAGTTCGTACTCATAAAGTTGATGGCATGATCCACGTGTAAGAGGCTCCATGGCTTCTTTGGCAACATCCATGGGTGAACTTCAGGCCTTTGATGTTCGCCGCACAAGTCACGTCGTCAAGTGGCCATCTCAATAGCTGTTTCAATACCGGGCCAGTAGACAGCGCTTCTTGCTTCATATCTTCCAAGCCATGTCCGATATGCAGTATCTAGAATATTGGGCTCTAGGCTCTGTGGAATCACAATTATTGATCCATAGATTAGGCATCCTTGTTAGATACTGAGTGAATCCAACAATTTCTGGAACTTTTCAACTTCATCATTGGACTCAGTGTGCTTCGGTGGCCACCCTTCGTGAATATAGCGCATCACTGTAGTTGTCACGGGATCTTCCCATACTCTTTTCGAAGGATGTTGGCATTTATAGGTTTGACTTGAAGACTGAGCACATTGATGGTGCACACCATGTGCATGTCTTCTCCACTTTCCTCCCAGTCGAAGCCGTTGTTGGCAAGTAACTAAGGGCATCTGCATTGTCGTGATTCGCTCTTTTCGGGTACTCGATGATGTAGACAAAGCGGTTTTAGCCACAGGACTCTTTAAGGGCCGAACAGTGGCGTCATTGGTTTATGATCAGTAACCAGTATGAACAGACGTCCGTACAGATACTGGTAGAAATTTCGCAAGCCAAAGATAATGGCTATGGCTTCGTTGTGGATTTGACTGTATTTTCTTTCTGCAGACACGAGATCCTTGGACATGGAAAATTGGGCGCTCTCGGATAGCGATGAAAGAAGACTGATCCAATTCGAAAGTTGGACGTGTCACTAACCAATCTAAGAGGCTTGTTTGGGTCAAAATGTACAAACCCTGCTAGTTCTTCATCTCCCTACTTCCAGGGAGTTGCTTTCTTGGTTAAACCGTAAAGTGACTCGGCCATAGTGACCAGGTTTAGGATGAACTTCCTGTAAAAATGAACTGAACCCAAAAAAGACTTTAAGCTTCAGACATCCATAGGAGGTAACATCTTCATTACTGCTTCGAACTTGGATCCCCTCGTGAGTCCTTCGGCTGATAAGAAGTGGCTAAGATATTCTACACTGGGTAGTGTAAAAAGGCACTTTTCAAGACGATATTTTAATCCTTTCTCGTTCAAACGAGAAAATAAACGCCTCAGTTTGCTGAAGTGATCATCGGCGTCTTGCCTGCTGACAAGCATATCGTATTGGAAGACAGCAACTCCAAGCAGATCACCATGATCTCTTGGAAGTAACCAGGTGCTGACGTAATTCAAAATGGGAGTCGTTGCTGCAGGAATACTCCACGGTGAGTACTGAGGGCTAGCCTGCATTAACTCTCTGGTGCCAGCTTGGTTTGGTCGTAGGCATCAGCAAGGTCAGTGTTTGTGTAAACGTATCCACCTCCGAGCTTCAGCATCAGTTCCTCTGGGAGTGGCATCTTCTAGTGGATCGTTAATGACTACAGAGTAGTCACCACAGAACCATAATTTTGGCTTCAGGGTGCCAGGACTATGGGCCTTGCGAATCGTTTTTTGAATATTGTTCTGGCTTTGTACAATTTTTTATGTTACAGTTTCTTAGGAAATTGTAGAGGCCATTTTTGATTGTGCCATTTTTGATTGTGAGAGCGTCATCCCTGTCGAGGCCTAGGCCATTTTTTGTCAGTTTTTTTTTTTTTTTTTGCTTAGTACATGTAGTATAGTTATTTTTTAGCGTAGCGTTGATGCGGCACAAAGCCGAAATTATGGAGCACCTAACATGTAACTGATCTAGCGAGACAAGCTTGCTAACCATTACACCACGCCGAGGTGCCCAAAGTTCATGTAGTATATGTACGCTTATAAGGTCGCAAGTTATTCCGAAATAAATAACTGAAACCATGCTACATGAAGTATTCTTCACTGAGTGCTTTCGACTGATCTATTAGCCATTACCTATTTCTTAATTTTTAGATTTTTTTGTATCAACAGACCTGTTTTAATTTCAGAACACAGCTAGCATACGGCGGCCGTGTTCATAATTAATATTAAGAGTTGGTTGCTTCTTTTTTACTATTAAAGCTTCCATTGTTTATAAGAGTTCGCGGCAGTTAGATGAGTGTATTATAATGGTGTTTTCTATGAGTATCTTGTAAATAAAGGGTGGTGCGTCTCCATGTGTATAAAAATATATATATATATATATATATATATATATATATATATATATATATATATATATTACTATATGCAGAATTTCAAACGTTATTTGTAGTGGTTACTTGTATTTGAGTAGGTGATCTATTTATTTAGACGCAGGCTCGATACCTGTTGAAGCGCGCAAAATTTTTCTTTAATATGATTGTTCGAATATTCATGCCGGTTGGTGAAAATAAATAAATACACCTTTTTAATAAATAAACGGATCGTCTACTTAAATATTAGTATCCACTAAAAATAACGTTTAAAATGATACAAATCTGTCAAATTAATAAAAATCCACTCTAAAAAATATTACTATATATAATGTGCCTATATATATATATATATATATATATATATATATATATATATATATATATATAACGTTTAAACATATATATATATATATTTTGGTTGGATAATGTGAGTTGAGCGCACTCTAATAAGTACCGCGTATATAATATATAAAGAATATATATATATATATATATATATATAGATACACACAAACTTTTCACACGCACACACACACACATATATATATATATATATATATATATATATATATATATATATATATATATATATATATATGTATGTATATATAACGTTTAAAAACACACACACACACACACACACACACACACACACACATATATATATATATATATATATATATATATATATATATATATATATATATATATATATATATATTTGTTTAAATGTTATTTCTTTAAATGGATTCTCATATTTGATATTTATTTATAAACATCTACTAACCTGGATTTCTCTTGAAATCATTTTTTAATTGTTTCACTGCAATTTACTGTTTTCCGCCAGATGGTTCCGCTGGTTTGGGGTGGGGGCAAACTGCCTGATTCTTCGTAATAGAAATTAGATAGATATATATATATATATATATATATATATATATATATATATATATATATATATATATATAGATAGATATATAGGTACTCTGATATCTTCTAGATCGACACTAGCAGCTGCATGTCAGTCTGAAAGAAGCTTTCAGAGTGGAATTTCGGTGGAGAGACTGGTTTTACTAGACACTGTTCTATTTCGTCATCATTTCTAACTTTACCAGACTTAACATTTTGATCCCTCTGACAAGATTTTCTCTCCTTTTACTTTTTATAGCCTTTTTTTGTTTTTTTCGTTTTCCGCTGTTGACGACATAGTGAAGGTCGGTGTTGTCTGGCATTACACTATTGGACATTCCTCCATGCACTCTCAACTAGCGATAATCAGTGGCTGGCACATTCCGACCGGACATGGACAGTGTCTGTTTTCCAGGGCGTTGTCGGTTCGCTGACAGCGTTCACGATAGGGACGCTGGTTGCGGAGAAGGGCGGTACCCGCAGGTTGCCTTTCTGGCTTGTCCGCCTTTAGAGTTACGCAGTAAAATACAACGGAATTCTTTTGCTGACTTCACACACACACACACACACACACACACACACACACACACACACACACACACACACACACACACACACACGACAAAACACGCTCTCTTTTGTATATAAATAAATATATATATATTTGTGTGCATATGCATGTCTATGTGTATGTGCGTGTTCGTGTGTCTGTAAATCAATGTGTATATAATTCTGAATGTAGAATGTGAATTAATTTTTTGTCATTTTCTCAATCGTCCTTTCCTTTCTTATATCTTTTTTTTATTTTCATTACATACTTGCTTTTTTTCTTGATTTCTCTTTCATTTTTTTTCTTTATTTTCTTGAATATTCTTCCGCGTATTCAAATGGACATCCAGTGATATAACAGAAAAAATTCTATTCAGGTTTGGTTGTTGTCTTCATTTTTTTGTTTGTTTGTTTTTCTCAACAAAACCAAACAATCGACATTTTAATCTTAAAATCTGCTAGAGTCAATACCCCTAGCAGTTTATTGTTAATTACCCCAGGAAGAACAGTGGTGGTTTACAAATGCTTACCTGTAACATGTGGCGCTTTATGTAAACATTTCATTTCATTATATAATATCACATCTATCTATCCTCTCATATATAAATACATACATATAGGTACAGACACATACACCTACTCCCCCATATATATATATATATATATATTTATATATATATATATATATATAGGGAGAGAGAGATTTTTACATTATATCTTCGCTACACGCCCCACACAAATATTTTTATCAATTTAATCATTATTTTAAGTGGATATCCATTTTTGGGTAGCACCGTTTATCTTTTGAACAGTATATTTATTTTCGTCTATCGGACTGAATATTCGAGAAATTAAAGAACAATAGCGTCCTCCGACATGATTCGAACCTGCGTTCCCCTAACTGTTGTGAGATACGATCCGCTTTTAACCAACATGGCCACGATGAGTGTCGTCGGTTAAGCAAAGTTGAATACTGCCTTTCAAGCTCACGCGTCCTGTTTCAGTTTCCGAAAACGCCGATTTGTTCAATTTCGTATCTGAAACGTAAACAAAGCAATTTCTAAAGAAGTAATGGATTTTTATTATTAATTAAAATTAAATATTTTATCACTTTACTTTTTGAAATTACTTTAGAGAAATTGCTTTGTTTTGATAGCATGGTTTGCGGGTGTCTAGTTTTATTATAAAAAGTTCAACATAATTTTTGATTTATAAATAAAACATACAATTGATGTACTCAATAATTATATAATATGATAGCTCTAAACCTGAATGAATTATTATTTTATGACATTTCTTCTTAATTCCTGTAAGGCTCATCAATCCCTGATTCTTCTAAACTTTTTCTAGTGTCTCAATTTTAATAATACCTGCAGCATTTTCTTAATTATTTCTCGGACATCGTTGCTTGAATGTTGTTTTCTAATATTATATACATTGTTTACTGATGAGCCATAATTTTTCTATTTAATATTATTTGGCGTGGCTGGAACTCATTCAATGAAATTGTTGTGTTTAGGACATTTTGTAACAATGTGAACAACAATAAAATTCAGTGAATGTGAATGGGCATTACCTTATATGAATATATTCGTCAGCTTTTAGCTTCTTGATTGTGAGAGGTACAACTTCAAATGTTCTTGTCGAAGAATTCTTGGCATTTAGCACAATACAATCCTCAACTTTGAAGCGGCCCCCTATAATTTTGTTTGCCTACAATAGTTGCCCAAAACATCATTCCATTTTTTTCTTGTAATCGTTGAAGTCGTGTTGGTTGAATATTTTCATGAAGAACCCAACATCAAGCCCAGGTTTAAGATCAATGAAATATAGCTCCATATTATTCACTAAAATTACTGTTGAGAAATTATTTTTTCATGTACTTCATCCAACGTTTGTTTTTGTGATGTTTACTTAAAGATGGAATTTGGATAACTTTCATGACTTTAGCTAATGTTCTTAATATTCTGCCTCTTTACTCTGTTGACTTTCACATCATCAGCTTCAAGCAGTTTCTTGCTCGTCGATTCACTTTTTTTTTTTTTGTCAATTTTCATTTTTCAAGCCAGCTGGTTCTTGCCAATTGTTTTCAATTTCTTTTTTGGTTGATTTTTTTTTATCTTTGTTCAACATTTTTGCAGTTTCCAAAGTTATCTTCCCATCATTCAATCATTTATAATATTTTGCTTTTTCTTTTAAGCTGATCTCTTTCTTACAATCCATAGTAATCTCTGTGTTTCTGGAGTAAAAATAAATATCAATAAACGTGCTTTAATTTATACAAACTATCGTTCTCGTCTTAATTATTACAGATTCAATATTTCAGTAAATAAATCTCTCGTTATCTCCAGGTGTCTATTGTTTAGGGTCGATATGGAATATGTGTTTATTGTAACTCTGATTCTACTTCTTGTTCGTTCCTGCTGAACCAGTGTATATAGTCTCACTAATCGATCAAGGAATTAATCTTAAGTCCACTAAATGACAAGAAAATTTTTTTAACTAGCTTTTATATTCTGTATGTCACCATACAGAGGGTATAAATAAATATTTAATTTTACAGTGATTAACATTTTTTGTCGAAATTTTAAAAAAATATTCTTAAAGACGATATAAATATTAATTTTGGCGGGATAAGAGAGAACGTCCATTTTCTTATCCCGAATATAAAAAAAAAGGTTTAATAAAGGCTCAAGG